GGTGGGGGTGGGGGACCTAATCAAAATTCAGAGTCTCTGAATCTACCTGAACATTTCTCTCCCCACCTGCAACCCCCACACCCCTCCCTGCCACACCCCCAGGCAAAGCGTGATTTGCTCCTCCATACCCTGTCTCATATGTTGCGGGTCTCCATCCCACACTGTGGAGATTCGTACGCTACATGCACTGCCCACACCTCCCCCACATAAGCAGCGTGTGAGCATGGGGACCAGGGGCTGCGACTACATACAAGGTCCTGAGTGCCAAAGGATGCTTGGTGGAATGAGGGATGGAAGGCTGGGGGAGGGGGAGGCGGGTGCCCTCTGCCCCTCAGTGGCTTCTCCTTAGATCTACCCAGACCTTAGAAGGGAACACATCTTTGGTCCCTTGATCTCGCACGCAGGCAGGGACACATATGGTTGAGCTGTGAAGCCCTGAGTCACGTGTCTGCTGTATGACTTCAGGCTTAATTCCTCTTCCTCTGTGCCTCAGACTTAAGGCCTCAGTGCCTCCTTGATTAAATGAGGGTAACGCCACAGCTCCCTTCTGAGGCCCAGGTTTAAATGGATCCCGGTGGGTGATGTGCTTACACCTGTTTCCCCCACCTGATTTTTAAAAAATTTATTTACTTACTTATACAAGAACTGGGTACAGGCCAGGGCAAAGTGGGGTGAAGTGAGAGGATTCACCAGAGACAGAGTGGGGAGCAGAACAGGCAGATGGATGAAGTACACTGCTGAGGGGAGCAGCCGATGGGTCAGGAGAGGTCTGCTGTGCCATGCGGGTCAGTCCCTGGCTGGAGATGGAATCAGCACTGCAGCGGCTGTGGGTAGCTTCATAGAGCTGTGTTTTGACCCGTTGTGCCACCAGGGAGGCCCTCCCACACCTGATTAATGGTAGGTGTGCTCTTCCACCAAAACTTCAGCAGAGGAATCTGACTCTCAGATTCGGAGCGACACAGCCTCCCCTGCACCCATCACCGTCTGTCCCTGTGTTGATGGGACTTTCTGCCCGCCTGTGCCTACTGATTTCTTGCTCACCGCCCCACTCTTCCTCTTTGAAGAAAATGTCTGGACAGTGTGGTCCCCGCTGCTGATTGGCATCTAGACGGTTAACAGTGCTGAAGGAAAGGCTGAATGAGTGACAGGGCTTGCATGGGGCTGGCTGTTGTTTCTCACTATGCCCTGTCCTCCGCTCTAGCCTGAAGAATCCAGTGTGTTACATTAGGTCCCAGCTCCTGGGATGGGGGTTGTGCTGGGCCAACCACAAATTAACCTTTCTAGATGTTACCAAACTACTAGGAGGTGATTTTCAGGGGAAGAAATTTGAGAAGGGCTTGGGAGAACAGACTTGTAATGAACAACAGAGGATGTGGTGGAAGGGATAATAAAAGATGGTGCGGTGGCTGGGTTGCCATGGAAACGGCGGCTGGTGCCTGGACCAGCTGATAAGCAGCTTCTTCAAAGTGAATTTCAACTTTGCAGCTTAGAATCCTACTCCTCCTGGGGTGCGACCCTGTGGATTCTCCCCACAGCAACCAAAAAACACTTCCTTGTATCAGCGACTCTCCAGGGGCTGGAGATTCACCAGACAAATAACTTTGGGGAGCCCAGAGGACTTACTGAGAGACAGAGAGTTGTGCTTATGAGCAGCTCCCACACCAGTGGACATTTCTACAGATTCTCTTGAGTCAGACCCCTGGGGTGAGGGGCCTGGGAGTCTGAATTTCACATTTCTACAGGACACCCTTAACTTTAGTGGCTTAAAATAACACTTATCATGCCATTATGTCACAGTTTCTGAGAATCGCCTCCGTCTTGGCTCGCTGGCTTGGGTCTTCTGACTCCTGTGTGCCGGGGCTATGGTCAAGGAGTCCACCAGGGTCACCCCAAGGCCTGAGTGGGGTAGGTCTGCTTCCAAGTTTGCTGGGATGGCTGCTGGCCCAACCCCCTCCTGAAGGGCCACCCCGCTTCCTGGCCACCTGCATTGGGCAGCCCTCAACCTCACCCCTAATTTTTCGGTTAACTCAACTTGGTGGTGATGACCCATCCCGATGGCACATTTTGTGATCATCGGAAGCCAGTCACCGGACCCAGCCCTCACTCGAGGGGAGGGATCTCAAAGGTGGCAGCCAATGGCAGGAGGTGAGAGTTCCTGAGCCACGTGGAAGCACCTGACGCTTCCGTGGCACCTCTGATGTGAGACTCATGACCCAGGCCAGAAGCTCCCAAAGCATCTTTGGGGGCAGGGACCAGTTTGATTGCTTGAGTATCTACTGATCTTCTTACAATAAGATTTAGGCCCCGATACACAGACCCTACTTTGCAATGTATTGATCTAGGGCCAAGCAAATATTTCCAAAATTTGCCAGGGTTTTCTGTGCCAAGAGGTCCACGCTGGCTTGTCTTATCTAATCCCCAGTCAGCTCCCAGAGACAGATGCAGTTGTGAGCACCCCCAGGGACAGATGAAGCAGCTAGGGGCACAGAGAGCTGTTCGCACGGCGTGTCGAGGTCAGGGCTAGCCATCTAACAAGCTGTGCCTTTTAGAGCCTGGATGCCTGGTCAGGCTGTAATTCAGGCTCTTGGTCACATGTCAGTATGTGTAGTTAGCGGCACAGAGCTGGGCACATCCCCTGCCCCAGCCCCACCTGCCCGCTGAAGGCTTGCCAGGGCCTAACTACAGACCCTGCCCCTAGCTGTGCCTGGCCTCATCCAAGGTTCTGTGTTGCCCTGCTCTCCCCTGTTCTGAAGAGCAAGGGGCAAAACCGCTGTCCCAGCCTGGCTTGAGTGCAGCCCCTCACCCCCGGAACATCCTGGGTGCTGTGATTCTTGAAGATGGATACCCCAGAAAGAAAACACACATGATAAACAGCCTTTGGGTGCAAAAATTAGTCTTGTCACCACGGGTTGCCTACCACCCCGGGGGTGAGGTTAAGCATTTGTTTACATATCATTAAGAACATAATTAGTTTCTGTTTTTCCAACAGAAGCCCCATAGCATCTGTCTCACTTCTGTGTCCCTAACACCTAATACAGGACTTGACCATTGTCAGGCTTGAGAAATACTCATGGGTTAAGGCAAGGCTCGGCCCCTCCCCCACTCCTGCCACCTGTCACAGCCCCTAAGATGGGGGGGGGGGGAGGTGAGTGGCCCTGAGGTTGCTCCTCTGCCTCTGCCAGGTGTGTGATTCAGAGGTGAAAGAGGAGGGAGCTGGGGTGGATGGAGGGGAGCAGGGAGGAGGAGGTAGGGAGGGGCAGGAGAGAGGAGAAAGGAGGGGGGGAGGGAAGAAGGCTTTCCTGGCGGGCAGGCCTGTTGCTGAGTTCAGCTGACTCCTGGATCCCAAGGTATCATCTTCCAGAAAGGTGACCCGGCAGGACACTGCTGGGGGCAGGACACTGCTGGGGGCGCCAGTGAGGAGGCAGGAAGAATTCTGCGTTTAGCTAGTAGCTCACAGAGGTCAGGATCCGCCCATGGAGTTTTAACTCCTGACACATGTGGGTTGATCTTGGCTGGACACAGTATTCCTGGGTGCCTCACCCCTCAACAGCCACTGAGCTGGACCGGGGGCAGGAGGCTGGGCTCTCGGGCTGGGGCCACATGAGCAGCTCCGAGGCCAGCAGGGGCCGGGCCACGCCAGAGAGGAGCCAGCGGCCAAGGCCCCAGAGATGGGCGGAGGAGGCAGATCCTGGGGGTGCCTCTCAGTCCCCAGCCCAGCTGGCCAGAGGTTAGCTTGCGAGTACCTACCCCCCACCCCCCACCCATGATCCTGACCCACCCTGCATGGGACCTCCCAACCCCTCTCCCCCAGGTTTACTGAACTCAGAGAAAATCATGTCACATGCCACAGCCACAGGTGTGAGACTGGGGCTCAAGTCCTCCTCGGGGGTCTCCCTCCCCGGACCCCTCCTTCCACCCAGGCCTTCTCATGTTCCATCCCTCGTCCTTCCCTCAACTCCCAATCAGCTTTCCTGCTTCTTGGGCCCTGGAGTTTAAGTGGAAATATAGATGCATTTGAAAGATGTGGTGGAACCAGGGTTTTGAAATGCAATAAATAAGAGCATACAAGAGAATGCGCTAGATAATCAGCTGCTGATTTCACTACTTGAAGAGGCTCATGTAGCAACCACGAGACCCTGCTTTCACCCTGGCCATAAATCATTCTCCAGTAAAGGCAGGACAGGGCTGAGCAAGGAGCAGCAAGTGGAGGTGACTTTGGCTGCCTGCAGAGAGGTTGGGGCTTTGGCAGGATGTGGTCTGACCCAGGCCAAGGAGGGCGACAGTCTCCTGTGATGGGATAACATGCAGTGCCTCCATTTAGGGTGCTCTTGGCTGCTAGACAGCAGGACCCCAATACGGAGCAGCTTAAAGCATCAGAAATTTGCTCATCTAAGTGCAGTGCAACAGATCTCAGGCCTGGTTGATTCAGTAGTTTAAGGACACTGCCATCAGAGGCACAGCTTCCTTCTCTCGCTCCCCCGCTCAGCTGTCCAGCTCAGGGACTCCCCTGCAGGCTGGCTGTCCAGGCAGGTGCACGACTGACCATGTGCTTCCTGGCCTTCCAGCCCCTCTTGTACTGTGGGGTCCAGTCCTTCTGTTGTTTGTTCATTGACTTCCCCAAAACAGATGCCAAGGCCTGGGCTAGAAACAGTCCCCAAGAGAAAGTCCAGAACTAGGATGAGACCAAACAGAACTGAGAGCTGGGGGTGGGGTGGGACCCAGAAAACCTGATGAGGGATGGTAGAAAGGAGAGAGATGGATAGCCCCAACCCGCTCCTCGGGAATGTATTTTAAGTACTTGTCCCTGGCTCCTGAGCTTATAGGGGAGACCTGTTGTCAGGAGGAAAATGGAGGTCCTACAAAGACCATACAGAGTGAACCTCAAGCAGAAATGAGCCCGATTCTTTTTTGAGAATTTTCAGGGCATGACCGGGTCATCTGTGGGCAGGAAACAGGCAGGAGGGCCTCCCGGGGACTCATCGGAATGCCTTGTCTTGCAGTTCAACGTCCAGAAATCCACGGAGCCCGTCCAGCCCCGGGCCCTTCTCAAATTCCCTGACGTCTATGGACCCCGGCCGGCAGTGACCGCCCCGGAGGTCATCAACTATGCTGACTACACGCTGCGGACCACAGAGGAGCCCGCGGCGCCCGCCAGCCCCCCGGCCCCGAACGACAGCCGCCTCAAGAGGCAGGTCACAGAGGAGCTGTTCATCCTTCCTCAGAACGGTAGGGATCTCCGACCCTCGCCTTCCCGGGCTGCACACGGGTGGCTGCGCAGTATGTTGATGTTGGGAGTGACCAGTCCCGTGTCCCTGGGGTCGATGCTGGCATGCAGTGGGGCACCAGCTTCCTCTGGTAAACAGAGAGCCCCTTGCAAATCGTGTGGACGGTTAGGGAAAGAGGCATAGAGAGTCAGGATAACTCTGTGGGCTCGGAGACAAAGGCTTAATCCTCTGCCCTTTAATATACTCGCTGTGTGGCTTTGATCAGGTCTCTCACTTCTCTGGGGCCTCAGTTTCCTCATCTATAAAATGGGCTTATACTCTTCCCTGCCACTAGGGGGAGTGTAGCTAAAATCATCCCTATACAGTGACTCCCTTAGGGCCTGACACAAAGAGGTGATCCAAGCAGATTACTGTTGTTTCCACTGTCCCCTCACTACCGCCATGCGTGTGCAAATGTAACCGTTTCAGGTGGGAGCTGTGCTGGGCCCCAGGTAGGTACCTCCCTAATCTAAGGAGCATCTGAGTCTTTTTAAAACAAGCAGAACATATCTAGCCTGGAGAGGGAGCTGTTGGAAGCAGAAGTCAGCTCTGACTTAGACCCCCCCGCCCCGCCCCCAATGCAGCTGCTGGCCCAGGTCCAGCTGTACCCATGCTGGCCAGTGAACAAGTGCCACCTGCCCACCCACCTCCCACCCCGCCCAGCCCAGAGCCACTGTGACTCGCTTGGCTTTTCTTCAAGAACAAGAGGATCCTGGGTGGCTTTTAGCCTCCCAGCCCACATTTTAGAAATAGACCCCTTGAAGGTGTGCATGTGTCAGGTTAGCGAGTGCGGAGCAATTGTGTGAGGACATTGGGGAGTAACTGTAATCACAGTCACCCCCTCTTTTCTTGGGGACCTCGGATTTCTCAAAGCTCTCAGGAAGCCAGGGTTGGACACTGACACAGAGAGATGAGCAAATCAGAGTCTGGAGCTCTGAAGAACTCCAGATGTTGTTCCTTCTCTCCTCTGCATGGCTCCCATTCCTTTCCCTGCCTCAAAAGGCAGCTACCAATTCCCACTTCCATGGAAGTCTATCAAAAGTGATTGGCTCCCCAAATAATGCCTGGGAGTCAGGAAGGGCGTGCAGGGGAGGAGGACATGAGCTAGCGTGGTCCCTGCCCGCCAGGGATGATGGCACTTGGCCCCTGCAGAGCTCAGAGTCTCATTTTTTGAAGCTGAATCTGCTCCCTCCTCCTTTTTTTTTTTAAGATGTATTTATTTGTGCATACAGAACTGGGGTACAGGCCAGAGGCTCAGGGGCAGTGAGAGGCTTCACCAGAGACAGAGTGGGGAGCAGAACAGGCAGATCGACCAAGTACACTGCTGAGGGGAGCAGCGGGCGGGTCAGGAGAGGTCTGCCACGCCATGTGGTCATCTCCAGGGCAGGCAGGAATCGAACTCATGCGGAAGCGGCTTTAGATTCTCAGTGCTGTGCTTTAACCCGCTGCACCACCAGGGAGGGCCAGATGTAGTTATTTATGCATATAAGAGCTGAGGTACAGGTCAGAGTTGGGGGGTGGGGGTGAGTGAGAGGATTTACCAGAGACAGAGTGAGGCTAAAAGTGTCAGCGATACTTTAGTCAGGCAGATGGACTAAAGTACACTGCTGAGGGGAGCAGCAGGCAGCTCAGGAGAGGTCGACCTGATGTGCCATGTGGGTTACCTCCAGGGCCGGGGGTCAAACTCATGCTGCAGGGCTGTGGCCAGCTTCACACTTCTCCGCTTTAATGCGTTGCACCACCAGGGAGGGCCCCCTTTGGTTTATTCTGAGGTGGCTTTGATTTTGAAGGCTGAGCACGTAGGGTGCCAGCAAGCCCCTGCTCACCCTGGCTGTGCTCGTCTGCCCCTGGGCTGCCACTTGGGGCCTGAGTACCCGCCTGTCTCGCTACACCCGTCACTCCCACCCTGGTCCGGCTGAGCCTTGCTTGGATGCACCAGGGAGATTCTACACTACTTGCTAAAGCCCAATAATGAAGCAGGTGGAAAATGAAATAGCCCTCTAAATTAGTTCTAAAAATCAAAATGTTAAAAGTTCCAATTTGTTTAAACTGGCATCCAATCACTGGATTCTTTAAATCTTGTATGATGTTTGACTGATGAGATTCTTCCAGGATTAATAATTTGGTTCATCTTTCAAGATGCTAGCTTCTTGCTCTAGTGAAGAGCAGTGTGAGTAGTATTTGTGGTTGTAGGGATTTCTGGTTCAAGATAAGACTGGGCATTTCTTCAGTGAGTGATTACTGGCCATACCTTAAAGTCAAATCCACTCCCCCGATCTTTCCCCTGTCGGTATCTCCTCCTCCTGCCATTCTCTGACACTGGTTTTTAGCCATCCACTCCTGGGGAGTGGGGAGCAACTTAGTGGGAGAGGGGTTGGGGCTGGTTTGCCTGAAACGGGGTGGCCAGGATCACAGTTGTGCCAGCTCCCTGACTGAAAGTTCTGCATGACCAGGCTCTGGGCTAAGTACTTCGCTGTAGTTCACTGTTGCTCATAGTAATGTAAGAAGGATGAACCATTATCAGCACTGTTGTAAAAAGGATGAAACTGCAATCCAAAGAAGTCAAGTCACTTACCCAAGGTCAAGTGCTATTACATAGCAGCTCATATCTGGCCCCAACACCCGCCTCTTGATTCCTTGAGATGTAATCTTTCATTTACTCTTTGGCATGGGGGGAGGGTGTGATCTGGAAAACAGATCACCAGCATGGGTGGTCATGACAACCTGTTCTCATACCAGGGGTGGTAGAGGATGTCTGTGTCATGGAGACCTGGAACCCGGAGAAGGCTGCCAGCTGGAACCAGGCCCCCAAACTTCACTACTGCCTAGACTACGACCAGCAGAAGGCGGAGCTGTTTGTGACTCGCCTGGAAGGTATAATTTGACTTTCATGGACTTCTGAGTGTGTGTCTCCTCTTGGGGAGCTGTGCAGGTGACCAGGAGCACTGACAGCTGGGATTTAGAATAGCATTCAATAACAAAGAGACCAGCAATGTACTAGGCTCAGAAACACAGGTTCCTTTTCTTTCTCATATAATATTCCAAAGGGAGAGACTCCTGGTTGAGGGACACTTTTCCTCCCAATGGTGATATGAGAACCAGGTTTCTTCAATAGCCCGTGGCTCCAGAATCATCTCTAGCCTCTTTGTCATCTGTATATAGCAGGCAGAAGCGGGGTGTAAGGACAGGCGAGGGAAGGCACACCTATTCCTTAATGGTGTGACCAGCACAGGGCGTCATTGACTGCAACTCTGTCACGTGACTGCCAACTGCAAAGGATCCTAGGAAATGTGGTCTGGTGAGTCCCCAGGGCAGAGAGGAAGTGGGTTTTCTCCATACAGCAACCAACACTGCCACAGGGACCTTTGACACCAGACAAAGCTTTGTGCTGGGCATAGAGGCTGTTCTGAATGATCAAAAATGTTTCTATGATCCAAGAACCGGCTGTCTCTCTGTGAGGCCGTTGCATCTCTATTTTCCCTCCCCTGCCAATCCACTTTGTCCTCAGCAAACAAAGCTCAGATTTTGCAAGGGAATGAGTGTTAATAATGGCTGGTAATGGCTCCAGGAGGCTAAGCAGGATGACATCTGACTTTTGTTGAACTTTTTGAAGTTTTTTCCTTTCTATTTTTTTCCAAGATTTATTTTATTTATTTATGCATACAGAGCTGGGGTGTAGGCCAGACGTGCAGGGGGTGACAGGATTCACCAGCAACAGAGTGGGGAGCAGAACAGGCAGACCTACTGAAATCCACTGCTGAGGGGAGCAGTGGGCAGGACAGGAGAGGTCTGCTGTGCCCTGTGGGTCAGCTCCCTGGCCAGGGATTAAACTCGTGCTGCAGTGGCTGACTATAGCTTTGTAGGGCTGAGACTGAACCCCTGTGCCAGCAGGGAGGCCCCTTTCTTGCAAGATTTTTTTTTTTAGCCTTTTCATAGACTCGTTTCTATTTGGTCTTCATAATAGTCCCATTTTACAGATTAGACACTGAGACCTAGCAAAGGCATCATAGCTGAGATCACGCAGCTCACTGGGGCCAGAGCCAGGACTGAGCTGCACCTGAGGTCCAGTAGTATGTGTGACCTATCAGGACCCAGGGCCTTAGGACTTCATCTTCCCTCCCTGGGACATGAGAGCTACCACGGTCACAAATGCTCATTGAGGAGCTCCTCATAAAAGCACCACGAGTGCAAATTTCTGGATGAATCCACATAGTGACGCATTAAAAATGTCAAGCCCAGAATGTAAAACATTTATGCGATTGCAGCCAAGTGGTTCACATCACACGTGGCTGTGTGGGAAATATTTAAAGCACAGAGCAAACAAATGATGGTATCAGCTGGAACCCAAACCAGCAGTTTGTGGGTCTCAAAACCTGGGGCCCAAGTGCCAAGTCTTGGCCCCGTGCTCCACAAAGACAGCAGGCGCTGCTGACATGGCCCCTCTGCACATTGGCCCCTGGGCGCCTTGTGGTCCAGACGCAGGGCCATGACTGCCGTGTGCTTGCACGCCGCCCCCTCCTCGGGAGAGCCCGTAACTGTGTTGCTTCGTCTTTGGCTGCAGCGGTGACCAGTGACCACGACGGAGGTTGTGACTGCTACGTCCAGGGCAGTGTGGCCAACAGGATGGGCTCTGTGGAGGCCCAGACAGCCCTGAAGAAGCGGCAGCTGCGCACCACCTGGGAGGAGGGCCTGGTGCTCCCCCTGGCAGAGGACGAGCTCCCCACAGCGACCCTGACGCTCACCCTGAGGACCTGCGACCGATTCTCCCGCCACAGTGTGGCCGGGGAGCTCCGCCTCGGCCTGGATGGGGCGGTGCCTCTGGGAACTGGCCAGTGGGGCGAGCTAAAGACTTCAGTTAAGGTAGGGAGCCCTCTCTCCGGTTAGAGTAAGACCTGTTAGTGGGGCATGGGGCGGCGAGGCTGGCAGGTGCCCAGAGACCTTCCCGGTGCGAGTTCCTGCGAGTGGGTATTTAAGTGTGTGTTTAAGGAAGGTTGGCGCTTGATTAGGCTGGAGGACTGTAGCAACCTCTAGCCCCAGATTTGGGGGTTCCTGATATTTAACTTAGCTTGCCATGCCAAGAGACCCCCTCCCCCACCACACACACAAGCACACGCACATACCATCAAGGAGAATGTCATGTTTGGAATGTATTGGCTCTAGTGCTGACATATCATCGCCATTTAATTTCATTTATACTCCTCACAGTGTTATAGGGCTGAGAGAAGGGTACCCCAGGACCCCCAAACCTGCCCCCTCTAAATGGGTTCTGCCATAAACCACATTAAGACAAAACATACTGCAGTGTGTAAGACCTTTAGTGGAAAGAAATTTAAATGTAGTTAGCGTGCATGAAAGAAAAGGGGAAGAATAAAGTTTCAAATCAAGCATCCTGGGTAAAGGCCCAGCCAAACAGGGATAGTCCAAAGCAGGGCCTCTGAGACCCTAAAGCCTCCCACATGGGTAAAGCACTTCCTGGTGGAAACCCATAGAAAAGGGTCAGAAATAGCCAGTCTGGAAGGAAAAGAGCAAAATGAAAATCAAGATCAGCACTGCCACTGTTAACCTCCCATGGGACTCTCACCCACGTCTGTTTCAGCCACTCCAGGGCCAAGAAGCAAGTGCAGCAACTTGCTTGTCTCCTTCTGGCTGGCGACCCTTCCTCCCTCCTTCTTCAGTCTCCTCTCCAGCTTCTTTCCTCCCTCAGCTCCACCCTTCCTAGGGTGGGGATAGGGAACCTGTAACCTCCCCTTTCCCTGGGGACCACCCTGTTACAACAGCAGGAAGTAGTCACATCCATGCCCAACTGCTCCCCCTTTTTACTATGATTTCTTCCTTGACTGACTTCTCTCTCTCTCCCAGGCTAGGAAAGCTTATAAAAATTAACAGCCACTCTCAGCTGGAACTAAACTATTCCAAAGCACACTGTCTAATTAGTGTAGGATGTGGGGTGTCACAGGATGGATGGGAGGCAGTTCCTGAGAATAGAAACCAACACTATTTTGGTCCGTTCAGCTGGTAAACCAGTTTCTCTGGAGATGGCAGCCTCTCTGCCCAAGGCTTTGGAATGTGGTTCTGAAAACGGCTACAATCCAGCCCCTTCAGATGGAAGTTGCAGGCACCTCTATCCCCTAGAAGAACTATCTTTATTCATTCCATTAAATATTCCAAGCAACAATATTTATTCCATTATTAATCCCAGGAATAAACATTATTATTTATTCCTGGGAGTGGCATGGATGACACAATTGTACCTTGCACATATAAGTCTTGCATGTAACAGTGAGACTGTGTGATCAGGAGCCAGGGGCATAGCAATACCATTTTAAAATCAAGCTTTATTGTTACCATCCATTTTAAAATCAGACTTTATTGCTTTACCATTTGCTTACCAAACCTTGTGTCAAAGCACAGATGAGCCTTTGTGGCTCTTTTGTGGTGCTGATCACATGCTATGAGCTGTCACAGTTGTACACTTGCTGTTGCATCCACGTGGGCCTCTGGGCTGGGGTCTGAGGTTGGAGGCAGCCCTCCGTGTTGTTTCAAGTGCCCCGAGGCCAGCTGGGGAGTCCCTCACCCTAACTGGACAGTGCTGGCTGACTTGAAGCAGATCGGGGTGGCTTTAAGCTGCTGCAGTCCAGATGTGTTTTTCCCTGGGCCAGAAGGGGTTAACCAAGGTGCCAGCAGCCTGTCCTGGTTCCTGGTTCTCCCCTGAAGACCCTGAGCCAAAAGTGGCATGTGCGTCACCAGGACTATAGAGTGACCCATTCAAAGTCAGCTCTAGTGATTCATTGAGAACCTGCCAGAAAGATGGGGGCGAGAGGGGGGGTTTGGGGGGGGGGGAAGACAGGAAACACTAGGGAGGATCTGAGAAAGGAGAGTTATTTCAATGGGCAGGTACTTAGCAGCAAGCTTGGAGCAGATGCACTTTAAGCCTCTGATCCTTGTGCAGGGGCTGAGCTGGTGTGGGGCCCCTCACGTGCTGCAAGAAGAAGAAGAACCCATTTGAGCTGGGCTCAGACTCTTCTCACCTAATCTCAGGAAAGTAGGGCTCAACAGGTCACCTGTGGCTGTATCCATGCCAATGGGGACCTCCAACACAGGCCTTGAATCAGGAGACCAGTATTCAGCCCAGGTCTCTGCACCCCTCTGGGTGCCTGGACTAGACATTGGCTTTACTTCCTTCTATGTGAAGTCAGAGCCAATTAAGCAAACTAAGAACACTGAGAGCTGCAAGACTGGGACCAGCTTTGCACTCAGACCAGAACTCTGGCTACTGTGCTGACCAGCTCTGTGGCTGCAAGCAGTGATATACCATGTTAGGATCAAAAGGGATCCTGCTGAAAATGAGATAAGATAGGTACCCATCTTGCTCCGGGCAAGAACAAATGGAGTCTGGTGCTTCTTTATCACAAATATTGATTCTGTGACTTTCAGCTATGCTCAGTGCAGGGGAAGGTGCTAAAGGTCCTGTGGAATGG